CTGCTGAGCAATTAACATATTAAACCACACTTTCCCAACCACAAATTAAAAATAAGCAAGAAAAATGAAAACCCTTCAATGGAGTAGAAAGACATTTAATTTTATTAATCCATATTACCTGAATCTATACATACGACTGGGGTTTTATTGGTACAGTGAGTATAATCAGAAATGGCAGATGATAAGATTTTTAAACAATAGTTTCAAACAGTGGAACCTGGATTACTGGATAAATGCATTGGTGCAAATCCTGCTGGTTTAAGCAAATTCATAACCACCCAAATATATGGATTTACCATTTGATCCAACATCCTTACACAACAAAGATTGCATGACATAATGAGCAAGCGGATAGTATATCATTCTGTCCTTCAGAATAATCTAAACTCTGGAGGAAAAACAGAAGGCCATTGAGGACTTATCCGCTCTATGGCTGCATGCTCCCCAGCAGTAACTTGCACAGCCTGAGGCATTGCAGGGGCAAATTGCTCAAGTATATTCCTAAACGGGGATAATTAATTGGTCAGGGAGGGAGGTGGATAGCTATCGCATGATGGCTAAAAACATATGTATGCTGACTGGTCAAATACTCAGATAACTAATGACAGACTCAAAACCTTTACCCTTTTTCGCCTTCAATAGGCTCATTTAACAATCGGTGGAATTCAGTCTGATGTTCTTGAATAAGTCTCATCACGTTTGGATTATGTTTTCCAAACTCTTGAAGCATCGGCTGTCATGAAGAAAGAAAATAAGAGCAAAAGAGATCGATGAATAACACATGACAGATAAACAAGATCTTAACAGCCTCAAATCATGGGGAACAAAGTACTTGCAAAATCTGCGGATTAGCTTGCACCATGGCTCGCAATGCTTGAAACTGCAGAGAAAATTTTCAAATAGAGTAAGCTGTCCAACACTCCAACTCTCCCTTTCTCAAAGCCCCATTCTACTCAACTAGTGTAAAGGTGATTGATAATAAAGATGACTTAATAAAACAAGCACATGTACAACAAAAGTTATATCAAATTTGGACAAGCAGACAACATACCTGTTCACTGTTACGCAGAAAATCCAGGGCACCAGAGGGAACAGCATTGGAACCCACACTAGGAAGGCCCTGCTTCCAAAAACAAATTTAGACCAAGATAATTCTCCGAAGTACTGCAGAAACAGTCATCACCCATTGCATACCTGAGGAAAGGTATTTAGAGGACCTGCACTAGGTCCACTAGATAGCACTGATGCTGGTCATCTGGGTTGCTGAGAATCAGAAGAAGTATTTGTATGCTGCCGAACCCCAATCGTCTGAGCAAGAAACGGCACTTCAGATTTCTCAGGAATACCCTATAGCATTAAGTATATCAGCATTTCATAAAAAATGATAGCTGACAAATCTACTCCAACAAGCGAATAATTCATTGTGTATGACTTAAAAATTGTTAGCTACAAAACTGAGTGAAAGAAGTGTGGATCTTAACTCACAGAATAAAGATATTCAACAGCTATCTCAGGGTTATTGGATGCAGCACGAAGGGCATGTACAACAGTGTCTCTGTCCCAAATTCCTCCGCCCATATCAAGTATGAGCTGGATTGTAATGAGTTCATTTCTAACAACAAGATTTGAAGCTGCCTGACCACCAACATCAGATTCGGGCCTGCTTTATAATTACATTTCAGAAAGAATCCAAGCCTAAAAATAGTTTGAATTTAACCTGATAGGAGTCAACATATATAATGTATTGAGTTTGGAAATTAAAAACAGAGTACACACTCACACAGAAGATTTAATAGGAGCTGGCACTGAAGTAGGCATAGGTGCAGGGCTGCCAATACATATATCACACCATAAGAACACAAACTTCCAGCCAGAATTGCTTGAAAACGAAACAGCATAGTATATCAGAACTCACAGAGATGCATCAGTCACAGTGATTGGAGGTTTAGTAAATGCCTCAACAGGAGGAGACTCAGGACTTGCAGGAGCCTTAAAGGTGAACAAATATCAGTTGTAATCGGACTATTGCTTTCAAAATATTAGCTAGCAATTAATTACAATTTCACAATTAATGCAGTAACTTCTACAATTGATAACATACGAAATGACAAGTTCAAGGAAATATAGACTAGGCTGGAAACTATGATAAAAAGCATCAAGTATTTAACATGTAGCATAAAGATAGATCATTGATTTGCATATAAATTGGTAGAAATGTATGGCACCTTGGACTCTTGGAGACAACGACAGCTTATACAACCAAAATAAGGGTAAGAGCGGAACCAAAACGGAGTACGTGTATGCATTTATGAATTCCCAATCTCTTTACAGAATGAGAAGGGTTTTTTTTTTTTTTTAATTTATTTATTTTATCTCTCCTATTATTGTGCATCTTTAGAAGATTGCCAGGAAAATAAATAAAAAAAAAAAGAAATTTGAGTAGTCCTTCAAAAACAGACTTTCTAAATTCCAACAGCTTTTAACCACTTCATATATTTTTTGGCAAATAAAGAGCTAATATTAACAGTTTTTAACAATAAAAGGTTATGATATTATATTTTTAAACCTCTCCAATCCCCTTCTCACAAAATGGGTTTTACTTGTTGCTGCAATTGAACTGTACATAAAACCAGTGCCCGCTGCTGGTGAGTCAACCCCCTTCCACCATCAATTGTAACACATTACAAAAATTTGAAACATATGTCATGCACATTGTAAAGCGGTTCTTACCTCTGCTGTCATAGCTGCTGCTGCCACTGAACTATCCCCAGCCAAACTCTTACTCTGAAAATACTCATTTGTTCAGTATCAATGAAAAACGCATATAAAATACAGACTATGAAAATGCAAACTTAACATGCACATATCACTAATCAATGAAAATCCCCTTTTATATAGCTATAATTTGTCAAAAATTCTTTAACTCCACAAACCCTAAAATATGAATAAAACAAGTTGAAAGATACAGAGTTTTCAAAGGTCTGCCCTTTTCATTCATTTTAAATTACTTGTATATAAGTGGAGTCGATTACATGAACCATTATTATTGTGTGAAGCGCTAATTTAAGCTGTTAGTGAGTGAGTGTGTTTGTATGTAGGAGTGAGAGAGAGTGTGAGTCAATGAGTTAAGATGCTGCCACCTGTCATGTGGAGAGTGGATATCAAACCAACGTTCCTATAATCTTCCTGAGTCCCTTGGAAGTTTGGAGTACTCATTTTGGCATAAACATTAAATTTTAAATTTTGGGACTTCCCTTTCAGGGGCGAAGCCAGAAGGGGATATGTGGAGACACTTGTCACCCCATTTTCAAAAAAAAAAAAAGAAAAAATTTAAAAAAAAAAAAACGGAAACAAACACGCTGCTGAGACAGAAAAAAGAAGAAAAGAAATTGCAAAACTAAACACTTGTCTCCATTACTTGTCTGCTCTCTGATCTGATATTATCTCCCTGCCAGTTTCTTTCTCTCATTTCAATGGCTGCTTGGCTATCTGAATTTTATAATGAATCTTTCATTCTCCCTTTCAATATAAGAAATAAAAGTCTGACTTTGCATGGATATGTCAGTTACGGAGTATTTGCTACTTGCATTTTATTTTATTGTTGTTTAATTTAATTTAATGTATAAATACTTGATACGATGATGATAAAAAATTTAAAAAAAAATAATAAAAAAAAGAGATCAACTGAGTTGTACGTCAATTCAACATTAGCCAATGCTCTACACAACCTACAAAGTAACAAATTACTTCGTATAAGGTTGGCTTTATACACATTGTTTCATAATTTACTTTGTTTGAAACTAATAGTCACTCTGTTTTATATTGTTCTTTTTACTTTGACCAATTTTATCTCACAAACAAATTTCAGGTAGAAAGAACAATATGATACAACATCCTTAAGGTTATAATTTAAATAGCTAAAAATGATTATCTTAAGCCTAATCAAATGTTAATAGTAACAAATGACATGTAATTTTGTCATAAATTTTTATATGAATTCCATATTAGGAAATATAATGAATGCTTTTCTATAATCCCAAGGGTTGTGTATATATTATCCAATGAAAGATTTGTTCAATTGAACCCCATCAGATTTACAACACTTGTTTTGTTGTGTAAATATGTACAAGATTAAATTCATGATTAGAGAAAATATAAAGTCAATTGAATGCAAAACAAAATGAAAAATAAAAGGCTTATTCGATACACCTGCTCCTTATTTCCTCAGCAGCAGTTATGTCAATATTACACCGTTTCAGACGTGATCTTTTTGTCTCCCTCCCTTTCTGTTTTTGGACCTTCATCATTTACTTTAGCCTTAATTCATTGTTACTGCCAAAATCTGGTATATTTGTAGATTTTGCTCTTTAATAAATCTCATCATTTTCATTTCTCATTTAAAAATCATAATATCTTAATTTAGAAAATATCATGCAATTTTTTTATAGGTTACTCTGTTATACGAGTACATATATACATAATATACAAATTTGCAGATGATTTAGATCGATGTTGTGATCATATGGAGTTCTACGAGTTCGACGAGGGCCTTAAGTTTTCAGGTTTGCCTCTTATTTTATTGTATTTTATCTTCTTTTCTTTTTGCAGTCAAAATTGATCAAAGCAAGTCTTCCATATACGAGACCATCTCATGTGAACTTAACAAGCTCAGAGACACACGTGATGTGTGCGTGTGTAATATAAAAAATCTATCAAGCTCGATTTATTTATTTCTTTTCGGATATGATTTATCTGGAAAAAAAAAATGAAAATTAAACGAATGTTAACTTTTTTAAAAAAAAATAAGGATAGTAGTTTTTTTTAAAATAAAAAAAAAATGAGAGATATTTTGAAAAAGTGAAATTTATATCCAAAACCTTTTATATTACACTATAGATTTAGCAAATTATAAAGTTTTAATCCTACAATATATGCAAATATATATCTAAAAGAGCTTTGGCGTTATTAAATTTGTCAAATGATGCAACCACCTTAAAAGTTGTAATACATTAGTGGGGACAAAACTTACCATAAAGAAAAAAACAAAGCGAAGAGTCCAAAAGTAATGTACTTGGGCGCCAAGCAGTACTTTAATAAAGTTTCACATTCCATCACATAACTGTTATTGTTATTATACACTACTCGTATAATATTTGTACAAGTATAAGGTTCGCTGCCTTGCCGATTCACCGGTGGTCACCTATCTACTCTCCTCCAAGGAATCGTGGGTTTTCACTTCTCAATTTTAGTTTCATTTTTTCGGATAAGTAAATGAGGATTTTTTTTTTTTTAATGTCTTCTTTGCGTTTTAGGATTTAGAGTTCTCCATCTCCAAATCGCAAAGGTAAGTTTGGTTTTTTTTTTTTTTTTTTTTTTTTTTGAGGGGGTGGGCTTCAATTTGTTACGGGGGACGTCGAAAAACTAATAAGTATAGTGGTAGTAGTTTCCATAAAATAAATCATGCAAATATAGTATTTCATGCACACACATTTAAATATGTGATTTTTACATTACCTACGATGTTGTATAGAACAGACTATTCTTATTGATTTTATGCCAATGCAGGTTCTATAGGTAATATCGAAGATGGCAAATCATAACATTGTTCTGTTTCTGCTGATTTTTCTTTTATTTTCTCCAACAAGTCAGTCATGGGGTTGGTTCTCATCTTCTGAAAACCAATCAGGAAATAAGGATATTATGTCCAAAGGTTTGGTTGCTGAGTTTTCTGTTGATGCCCTTGATAATCCAAAAGCTGCTGAATTGCTTGAAAATGCCAAGAGAAAGTTGGGAGGGACAAATCCTTGTTGGTTCAGAGCATACCAAGATTTATTTTCGACTTGTTCTGAAATATTTGCTGCAGAAGAAAAGAGAAAAAGGTTTGCTTGGCATCTGAGTGATTGTTTTCAGAAGGATACAGGGAGGACTCCCTTCCCATCTTGTGCCAGAAAATCTGCCATGGTCGATTGTTTAAGGAAGTTGAATAATGATGATCATAAGACTTACCTTGAATTTTACCTTCAGACAAATTCCATTTGCCATCAGTTACAGTAAGTAGTATGATTTATAAATTTAAACAATTTTTATTACCCCTTTTCTCTTTAAAAATTTTGACACATTAGTGCTACAGGTCGAAGGCTTTCAAGTCTCAGCTAGAAGGTTTAGTGAATGACCTGAAAGATTCAGCACTGGTTGCAGAAGACAAATTGAAGATCATTGAAGAAAAATCGGATAATCTTCTGCATAGTTCGAATGGAATACATGAATCTATAACATCGATTGATGCACAAACTCAAGTTGTTGGGGAGACTTTGAAGAAGATGTTTGGATACTTGGGTGCTGTTTTGAATCACTCGAAAGAGCTCAACGAGACAGCTAAGGGAATTGCAATGTCTCAGGTAGAGTTGCTAGAGGGACAGGGACGAATGAAAGACAAATTGGAGGAAGATATGTTGAAAATTCAAGAATCTTATCAGAATTTAGGTGAAGAAATACGTGGTTTACAGAAGAAGACTGTTGATGTCAAGCAGGAGGTGAACAAAGTTGGAGAAGCAATGTCATCAAAGATGCAGAATCTCCAAGGAAAAACTGATGATATTACTAAAATGGCCAAAATTTCTGTAGACAAACAACAAGAGCTTCTTCAAGGTCAATCGATTGCTCTCGAGGGTCTTAAGTCTCTCACTACTTTTTTGTCTCAAGCACTTCAAGAGAGCAGGTAATTAATTTCTGTGCAGTCCAAGGAGGGATAACAAATGTGATCTTTGTTTAATTTCTTAATGCTATCTTTCTTCTTTTCAGGGTTTCTTTGGAACAACTAGTGGACTTCGCAAATGGGCAACACCAAGAACTATTGAAGCAACAGCAACAACTTCTGCTAGCTAATGACCACTTGGCTAACAACTCAAAATCCATATTAGCAGCTCAGGTGATTGACTTATAGATACAAGTAATACAAAGCTATAAAAAAGTTAGCTGAAGTTAGCATTTGTGCAATTATTGCCCTGTTTATTAACTAATTGCTGAGTCTTATATGTTTTTTAGGAAGCATTTGAGTCGAAACAAGCAAGCATGTTTGCTGCCATTGATAAACTCTTTGCCTTGCACAATGCCATGTTGCTCGAGTCAAGGGTTATCAAAGCTTTTTTTGTGTACTCCATCTTAGTCCTTGTTCTCTACATGCTGACAAGCACAAAGCAAACTTATGGTGTGAGATGTAGACTTTATATAGGTATGTGTCCAATTATTACTTGTACTGAATCGAATTAATTTCTACTGATCTTAACTGTCACTTACGATTCTTGCTCATGACAGGATTGTGCATTGCATTCGCAATAGAATGTGTAATACTGCGTTTTACATCCAACGAGATTGAACAACACATATACCTAAGGACTGCTGTGAAGCCACTTTTTGGAATCTATGCTGTCATTCAACTTCTGTACACCATCTTTACATTTAGGTATATATTCCTAACTTGGATATTTTTTAAATAGAGGAGAAGATTATTATTTTTGGTTATGCAAATTGATATTTGTTTCAATTTTTGTAGGGATTATGAAACGTTGAACTATAATATGTTGGTCTCCCTCCTGGACAAGGTAAACGGGATGAAGAAAGGAGATGATTTATCATGGGATGACAATAATGACGATGTGGATAGTGAAGTTGACTGGATATTTTGGGTAGAGGCTGAGTTGCCTGAAGACATAAGTGTTATGGAAGACCCAGATTATATGCTACCAATTGCAGGTGAAGAAATGGGAGAGAACTCTGTTGCTATAAGCACAGAAAGAAGATATAATCTTCGTTATCGACGATAAGCATTTTTGACTAAGATATGGTTATGGACACATAACCTCAGCATATACATAGAAAATTTTGTTTTCATAATGTCATTATATAGGTAGATGATGAATACATACATAGTTTTATTGGTAAAATTTTACTTTATGATCTGTAGTAATAATGTGGTGTGAGGGACAGAGGTAGCCCAACTATGGTTTTCTACACGTATTGTAAAACTATGACTTATCCTAAATCTTGAGGGATACAACAATATGACAACTATTTTCGTAACGAAAATTAATTATTTATGTAAACAGGTTAAGCTATGTTGAAAATTATACAGTATAATATGTACTCATTTCCAAATTTTTAGAAATTTTTATTACATTTTAACGTATGTTACAAATTCCGGTAAATAACATTCCACTTATCAATTCAAATTTCCTTAGAGCTCGATCTATTCTCAACTATTCCCCATTCCTCATACAACTTTTATTACCAGGAAAGCAGAGAAACGATCAAACGAATTGAATGAAAAAATGCATGTATTATTTACAAATTACAACCATAAGCCATTTTACAAAGTTGATAACTTAGCAATGTGGAAGATTTTTAGGTGGAGGCAATACAGAGTACTCTGGCCCTGGTCCGTCTTCAACCATAAACGCAATTTTTAGTCCCCAACCCGTATGAAGCTCCAAATGACAATGCATGAACCATACTCCTGCAACCAAAGTCAATTATTAGTAAACATAGTAAACCAATTCAAAATATATAGGAAGCACAAGTATGTAGCTGCAATGTTGATATTGTACTAACACACCCAAGCTAGCCTATGTTATATATGTATGTAACAAGTGGTGCAGATGTCAACCGATCATAAGCGTTTAACACTGTCATTACCTGGGTTATCGGCTCTGAATCTGATAGCTGTCCAACCTCCGGGAGGAACTCCTACGGTATTCCTCTCAGGGGGATCAACCAAATTAAGTTTAGCCGCGTCCTTAATGGGATCAAAGTTACCAACCCCGGTACCAACCACAAAGAAGTTGTATCCATGAAGATGGAAAGGATGAGACTCTACGGAAAGCAAATTGGAGTCCTGCAAAACCAGCTCAACTGTGGAGTTGAAAGCAATCTTGCTAATTCTTGGCATTGCTGATTGGACCGTCCTAAGGTTAGCAGTCAATGGAGCTCCAGTGTAGTTAAATGAGGTAGGAGGCTTGTCCCAGAAGTCAGTCCTGAACACTCCGGACATGTTGAAGTAGTGTGCTTGTAAAAGCGCGGTCTTTGGCATAACAAAGGTAATGTTGTTCAATGAGGCCGTAAAACGAGTCCCATTGACACATTAGGGCATGGGTTCACCCCTAATCCGATTGTAAAGAACAGCTTTCGGTCAACTTTCAAAGGTACCTTGGCAGGAAACTGAGGAGTGTTTAAGCTTCTAAGCTTCCTGTTGTAGGATAATGCAAACGAGGTGTCGTTCGGTGAGGGAAGTTGTGGTAAGGAAGGGATGATGGTGTTTGGGACGCCTTTGTATTGGAAGATTGCTGTGGCGGTCTTGTTGTCTACTGGAATGGGTACGTCCATGAAGGTTCTTGTGGCCATAAAGTAATGGCGGGGGGTTTGATTTGCTCAGACTAACACATTAGTGATTTGGCCTGGGGCAATGAGGATGGACTTAGTTGTGAATGGTTTGACATAGACAGCATCTATTTCCACCAGAGTCATGGAGTGGCCTGCAATTCCAAAGAATAGCTCGTCGTTGAGGGCAGCATTGATGATTCGCAGGAGGTACGTCTTTCCTTGTTCAACCTCCAAGGCATAAGTGTCTACAAACAATTAAATGGAAGGGATTATAAAAAAAAAAAAAATAGGAAAAATTGCTTTAAATAATACCACCTTTCACCCGTCCGCTAATAACAAGTCGACCTTTAGATTATCTCTAAATAATACCACCTTTGGGGGGTGTCCGCTTTAAACAAGTTATTTTACCTACAACCTGAATAACCAGTTACATTTTTTATTTTTTTTTAATAAATTCATTTAACAATGTAATTAACGCTTAATAACAACTTTAATTATGATTTACTAGCAATTAAATCAAAAAAAAATATAAAAAACAATTAAAAAAAAAAGAATCAGCCCCTGCCACCCATCACCCTCCTCCCTTACCACCGCTCCCCCACCACTCCCTCACTTACCCACCTCCTTTTGCCCCCTCTCCTCATCCCCACCACCAGACCCGCCCCTCACCTTTCCGACCACCACTGTCCACCCCACCCCCATCCCTAGCCTCACCGCCCCCTCCCGAAACCCACCCTGACAGCCCCTCTTCCCAGAACCAAGCCCTGAAACTGCCTGCCGTTCGCCCTTCAAAAGCCCTTCCCCGAAACCCACCCTGAAAACCCCCCTTTCCAAAACCCCCCTTTCCAAAACCCAGCCTCGAAACCGCCCTAAAAATCCCCTTCTCGAAACCAACCCTGAAAAACCCCACCCTTCCTGAAACCGCCCAGAAACCCCTCCTTCCCGAAACCAGCCTTGAAACCTAACCTGAAACCCCCCCCCCCCTTTCCCGAAACCCAGCCCTGAAACCTACCCCTCCACGAGCCCAGAAACCCTACTCACCCTCCACCACTATCAAGAACCCATCAAAATAGGTCGAGATCAGGGTCGGGGATGGCAGGGTCAGTGGTCGTTGGTGAGGGATGACAAAATGGGAAAGGGGAAAGGGAACGAGAAAGGGAGGGAATTACGGGATTGGGGTTTTTTTATTAATTTCTGTAATTAAAAAAATTATATTTTCAGACCAATAAAATGATGGCACGTGTCCATATAACCTATTAATCAGGTTACCAACAAGTTACAACTTGTTTAAAGCGGACATCCCCCAAAGATGGTATTATTTAGAGATAATCAAAAGGTAGACTTGTTTTTAGCGGACGGGTGAAATGTGGTATTATTTAAAGCAATTTTTCCAAAAGAATATTAATAGTAATGGCATAAAATTAAATGTATCATGCTAGAATACAATCTTACTCTTCTCTGAGCAAGTGAATAAAGGTCCTGGCTTTCCATTGATAGTGTGAGCATCTGATATGTTTGGCGGCAAACCCTTTTGATCGCCTTTTTTGAGAAGCGTCTCAACATCAGCATTCCACCATTCCCCTGCGCAATCAGTCAACAAATTAGCAAAAGCAGGAATATCTTTGTCATAATTAAGTGCCTATGCATAGTAAATTTAAGATTAATGAAGTTGAAAGCACTTTGACAGTTTAATAATGTCCACCTAAGATCAGGTTTGCTTCCATGTGAGGTTGAGGAAATGGATATGGAGTCCCTTCTATTGGCATGATGACAATGGCACCATAAACTGTCGCCCTTAGCCATGAAATATGTGCATGCCACCATAGTGTTCCTCTTTGGCCTGTAATGTTGAAGTCGTAGGCGTAGCTATTCCCCGTTTGAATTGGACATTGAGTTATGTATGCTGGTCCGTCAGCCCAACCATTTCTATATTGTTTTAGTCCATGCCTAGAATTTTTAAACAGAAGAAAACCTCAAGCAAAAGAATAAGAAAAAGGGGCAATGCAATATTTTACTTAATACTTGGTATAAACTTACCAGTGAATAGACATTTTATATTGTGCATGGTTAGTAACCTTAACCATAACTCTATCCCCTTCTCTAGCATAAATAGTTGGTCCAGGATACATTCCATTCACGGTCACTATAGGCTTTGCATGGCCCAGCCTGCTCACATTCTTCACTTGAACCTAAAAACACAATGACAAAAGACTCAAATGTAAACAAAATTGATCTTCAAACTTAAATACATATCCTAACATTACATACATATATGCATGTATGAAGTATCTGTAGCAAGGAAGACGTAAACAAGACATTTGTATAACTCACGTCAAATTGATACTTCTTCACAGCTGCCTCTGATGGGAGGAATTGTATAGCAAGAAAGACAAAAACAAGACATTTATAAACATGGCGAGAAGTACCACTCAGGCTACACAAGCCGGCCATTTATACTGGCTCAAAACTAGCTTCAATTCTTGATCAATTGAAAGCGAGAGAACACGGTAGAGATAAAAGATCAGAGATGGATGAGTAAGGAGATAGAAGAGTGGAACAGATATATAGATATGATGAACAAATAGAGGGAGGTAGAATAAACGAATCAGTTTGTTGAAACCCATATAAAGAGTGACTTGGCATGGTGATTGACTGACTTAGAGGTTGAGAAAAGATGAAGCCTATAACAAGTTTTTACATATTCATGGCTTTAAGTTAGTACATTTGAGTAATAAAATAAACAAATAATGTTAGTAGAAATGAGAGGAACTAATTGCCAACCTAGCCTTGTGTTTTCAACTTTGCCGTTAAGGATGTCTTTTGAACAAAAAATATTTACTTATATTTTTGGTGTAAGTTTACATCCAAGTAAGCATTTTCTTTTTTCTTTGATTTTAATTGTCATTCATACGCAAATTCTATAAGTTATTAAGTATAAGTATACCTTTCACAAACTAATATGCACACTAGATGATGGAGAATTGGAGATTCGATAATGAGGGTGTTCACATGTGAGTTTTAATGTAAAAAACTATAAAACTAAGTATTGCAACTTCCTTCTTTTAAATGCCTTTTACTAACTAGGCCGTTAATGCAACATATAAAAGGTTTATCAAAGTAGAACATGCGGGGTAGCTCAAGATTAAAGAGCATATCAATGTCAAAAACAAAAAATAAAAAATAAAAAAAAAGATTAAAGAGCACATAACATTGTTACAACATATTGTTCCAGTTCGTTTGTTAATGTACGTATTTTTTTTTATTAATTTTTGTTTTTCTTTACGGACAAAAAAAGAGTTTGAAGAAATTTGGGTGAAAGGTATAAGTATACCTTTCACCAAAACTAGTATACCTTTCACAAACTAATAGAAATTTTATTTTAAAATTTGTAATTTTGGACAAAATAATAGATTAGAAGGTAGGTCACCTCCTTAGAAGCTTGATTGTGCCACTGTGTCCACTCTAGTATTCTTTATCGTTTCATCACATTTCATTTTGTCAATAAGCTCACACTAGAAAGAAAAAGTCAAAATGTTGCCATTTT